CAAACTCACTTAGGTCTGTTGTTGATAAAGCCCGGCTCCTGACTTGAGGAGATCAGGTAGGACTGAGACATAAGAAAGACTGAGAGAGGCTATTGGATTTGGATTCTATAATTAATGGAGTGACAGGTAGAAATTCTTCACAGATTTGGCTCCAGGAAAATTGCCATGTCTCTTGGGGGGGGTGCGGATTTAACCCTCTCCCAAAAAGGGGAACTTAGAATAAAAATATCCCAGCTGAAATGAATTAAATGTCATATGAATGAAATTTTGCCCAAATATTTGATTTTTTTTTCTTTTTCTTTCTTTTTGCTTTCTAGGAGTGTTGTCAGATGTAACTTAAAAATATACCCCAGGAAATTCTAAGAACAATCAGTGCTTTTAAAATACTATTGCATTCAATACCATTGCTTATCATACCCTCACTAAATAAACATTGGAGTCCCCAAGATCATTTGCTTTCAGGCTTATAGGCATTGAGAATAGTGTGGTGCTTGTCCTTGATTTTGCACCATGTAACTGTTGACTCATAATGTTATTTTGAACTAACGTAAGTGAACTAAAAGCAAAACAAATAGAACATGTGAGATAGAAATAGAAAGTCAGAGGCACCACCTCAGGATGTCAGAAATGTAGAATGTGAATTTACATACAATACACCAGATTCCTCTGTGGGGTGGAGTGTCCATGAAAATTTGGATGGAGGATGGATTTGTGGGAATAATTTTCCATCAAAGACCATTGGATATAGTGACCAACCCACTGGATCAGACCTTCAGAAACCAAATTATGTGACGCCAGAGAAAAGTAACTTGGCCTTTTTGAAATTATAATTTCAGATCTGTAAAATGATGTTAATATGTCCTTTTTGACTCTCAAGAGATACAGGAGAATTTGCAGAGATAATGTGTAAAAATGTAAATTTGGCTTGTTACAGGAATTTAAGTTGTTGGGAAGAATCGCATCAGTGAAAACCAGAGCTGGTAATGCCCTTAGAGGGTACTTAATTGTTAGAGTCATTTATGAAGAATTTGTGGTTATTCTGATTATATTTGTCTATACATTTTAAAATTTTGCAGTTTAAAAAATGCAAAATAATTGGGGTGATTTTAAATTATTGCTAAACAGCGATTTACCATGCAATGGGAGTTTTCTTAGATATAGGATACAATTTTATTCCTTAATGATTAACTCCCTAAGGCAGGATCCCATGCAGACCCTGGGGAGTTTGGGAATTGCCCATGGCATTTGTGAAAGTGTGTGTTATGCTATGGGGCTACTCTTGGGGAGAGGATTTGTATCTTTCATTGTGTTTTCAAGAGATTAAAACAGTGGGACTTGAGGAGGAGAGGAAGAAAGCACAAAACCTAAAGAAAAGGAAGAGAAGGGAAGGTACATGTAGAGGAAAGTGTCCTTTAGGTGACATGTTCTTCCAGAAGGGCTGAGAATGTGTCTTTATATGGGGTACAAAGGGATCATGACTGAAAGCTTTAATAACTTAAGTTCTCCAGAGCTGAACTGTGTCTGTGCACTGAGGTAACAGCTCCAGTCTCAATGTCACAACACCTCACACAAACAAAAAGGTGACAACAGCCATAAAAGAAAAAAAAAGGCATCGAAGAAGAGAAAGCTACAGCCCCACTCAAGATCTTTATTGAGTCTTTAAGTCTTTACCTGAGAAAAGTGCAGCACATATATGTCAGGAAACTACCCAAAGTAGGGGAAGCACTCAAAGGATTAGATGGGGAAATCCTTGGAACTCCTCAGATGAAGCCTGTTCCTACCAGCCAAGAGGAAGACCTCCTAGCTCATTGTGCTTTTTTATAAAGCACCTACAGGAATTTTGCCTCAATAGTAAGACCCAAATTAGGTCTAGACTAACCACTGCTCTGTAAGGGCCCAAGAACGCCTAACAGCAAAACCTGAAAGGATCATGGGTCGTCACTTAAGCATCCTGTGTCTTCACTTAACTGTGTCCTAGAGCAAAGTTCAAGACAGAGTTATAAGAAGGCATGTAGCACCAACAATAGTAAAATGTAAAATCCTTAAGATTTATTTTCTTCTATTTTTGAGATTATAATATAACCAAAAGTACAAATTTTGCAATGTCTTGTATCGAAAAATTAGTAGACTTGGTAAGACACAGCCCAATAGGACTCACAAATAAATGAGAAACAGAGAACTGAAATGAGCTCAGAAATGACACAGGAAATTCACAATCAAGGATGGTTAAAATTATTAATATTATTGACAATTCTGTGATTATAATAAAGTCTATATATTCTAGTTTAAGAAACTAGACTGAGCTGGGCGCTGGTGGCATACGCCTTTAATCTCAGCACTTGGGAGCCAGAGGCAGGTACATCTCTGTGAATTCAAGACCAGCCTGGTCTACAGAAGCTGAAATGAATTAAATGTCATATGAATGAAATTTTGCCCAAATATTTGACTTTGTTTTTTTTTTCTTTTTCTTTTTTAGTTCCAGGACAAGCTCCAAAACAATACAGAGAAACCCTGTCTCAAAAACACCAAAAAACACCAAACAGAAACAAAACAAAACAACCCGAAAAACTAGACTGAGGGGGCTGGAGAGATAGCTCTGTGGTTCAGAGTCCTAGCTGCTCTTGCAGAGGATCCGTATTCAATTCCCAGCACTTATATGACAACTGGCAACTGTCTATAACTCTAGTTCCAAGGGATCTGACATCCTCACACAGACATACATGTAGGCAAAAACACCAATGACCATATAATAAAAATAAATTATATATTTAAAAAATAAAAAGGAAATTACACTGAAACATGTTGGTTGGCTATAGCTATGGAGATATAGCTTTTAAAAAGACTTAATTTAATCCCTAGAGACAAAAAATATAACATTTAAGATTTTTATAAAAAGATGAAAACAGGTGAAATTAGAGTCCACAGATAAAATATCACTGAACCCAAAAAGATAGTAAACAAAACCACCCAAAGTGAAGCTATTCATAAGATAAAATTCTGAAAAATATTAATAAAGCATCACTCGGCAGTGGGAAATTTTGAGCAATCTAATATATGAGGGTTGAATCCCATGATGAAATGAGAAATATACAAAAATATTTTTTAAAACTATTGAAAAATTAATATTTAATGAAATACTAGGTCTCAAGTCTAATAATTTAAAAAGACCCAAGAACAAGAAATAGTGAAAACCATACAAGAAACAGTGAAAACCATACAACATCATTCCACAACTAAGCTACTTTAAAACAACCAAAAACAAAACCATACTGCATTCAGAGGAACAAAGGCTGAGGGCATGATTTTTTAATTGAATTAATGCAAAAGGGAAGATGGTAGGATCATTCCACAACTAAGCTACTTTAAAACAACCAAAAACAAAACCATACTACATTCAGAGGAACAAAGGCTGAGGGCATGATTTTCTAATTGAATTAATGCAAAAGGGAAGATGGTAGAATAACACGTTGAAAGCACTAAAATAAAATAAAATAAAATTTCACCCTGAAATTCTTCCACATGGTAAACATCTTCATTGACGTTGAAGTCAACAAATACCAACAGCCCTGCTGTCTAAAGTTAGAAACTGGAAACTCCCCTATACAAAGAAATGAAGATACCTAGTATCTAATTATATATGCAGATAAGTAGAAACTTTTTTTCTTGTAACTTAAATCTCTTTAAAACAGTCTTGTGTTTAAAGCCAAGTTGTGGAACATTGCAGAGCTTCCACCGCTGCACAAGTGAAGTGTGTTTAAAGAATACAAAAATGAACCAACACAAAGAATCAACAAAGCTAAGAGCTGGTTCTCTGAGAAAGTAAGAAAGACTGACAGATCCTTAGCTCAACTAACCAAGAGAGCAAGAGCAGTGGGGGTGGGATGGGGGTGCAAATCAACAAAATCAGAAATAAAATAAACAGAGAAACATTACAACAGGCAATAAGGAAATTCAGAATTTATTGTAAGAGATTACTTTAAAAACCTGTACTCCATTAAGTTGGAAAACCTAAAAGAAATGGAAGAATTTCTAGATTCAGCCAAACCATTAAATAGACCCATAGCAAAAGAGGAAATTGAAATGGTAACAAAGTCTTCCTATTAAAAAAGTCCAGGTCCAAAAAATACAAATGGAAAGGGCACTCCTGGACTCCTTCTGTGAAGCCAGTATCATTCTAACACTCAAACCAGGTAAAGACACAAGAAGAACACTGCAGGCCAGTATTCCTGGTGAACATAGATTCACAAATGCTCTATAAAATACTTGTAAACCAAATACAGATATACAATGGGTTATCTACTGTGACCAAGTTAACTTTATCCAGGAGATGCAAGGGTAGTTCAAAATACACAACTTAATAAATGTAATAAACCACATAAGTGGATTTAAAGAAAAAAAATCACATGATCATCTCACTGCAGCACAAAAGGCTTTAACAAGATCCAATCTGCTTCATGGTAAAAGTCCTAGAAAGAATGGATGTTCCCCTAGAGGGAACATACCTCAGCATAGTAAAAGCTATGTATGACAAGCCCACAGCAAACGTCACCCTCAATGGAGGAAAACCTGAAGCAATACCACTGAAATAAAAAACCAGATAGGGATCTTCACTATCCCACTCCTTTTCAATATTCAATTTCAATACTGATGCACTAGCTGGAGCAATAAGGCAAGAGAATGAAATTAAAGGGATATAAAGATGTACAAACAAACAAAAAACCTTAGTAAGGGAGCCAAAAGTATTTATAGAGTTGAAATGGCAATGAAAAGAAAATCAGCGAACTTCAAATAGATGAACAGAAATGTTCCCAACAGAAAGGGAAAAAATAAAAATTAAAAATAAAACATCTATAAGCCCAGAAGCTACAGAACAGTATCAAAGAGAATAGGGTTAAATTTAACCAATCTATGGGAAGACATCAAAAAAGGAAAAAGATAATAAAGAACAAAGGATAAAGTATCAAGGTATGTCTCACAAAGAAATTAAATCATTTACTCAGATAACTAAAAAGACTGACTATGGCAAGAGGTGGAGGAGACTGTGGAGAGACTGAAACTCAGTGTTGAAAGGGAACGGTGAATGGTCTTGCTACTATGGAAAACAGTTTATCAATTTTTAAAAAGATAATATATCTGATGTATGATGAGGTGACTTCCGAGTAACTGGATTAAATGAGAACATATCGACACATACAATTTGTAAATGAATGCTTACAATAACCTGAGCCTCTTACTCAAGAATCGAAACAGCTGGAACATACATATGAATGGATGAATAGGCTGTGAGACAACGATATGAAGAGCAAGGAGTTCTCGACAAACTCAACAACAAAGATAAATCTTGAACTAATTATGTTAATTGTCATCTATATGCAAGTATGTTTCCATTTATAGAAAATTCACACTGGTCTAATTAATAGAAATCAGATCAGTATCTGACCTCCGGTATCTCAGCTTCAGCCTCTGCACCCCGCTCCTTGCTCCCTGGACTCCAGGCAAGCTGGCCTCCTCACTTTTCGTCACACCCAGAAAGAATGCTCCTGTCTCACGGTATGCATGTTTGCACATCCTCCACACAGATAGCCTTCTTCAGGCCCCTGCTCCTTACTGCACCGTGGGCCGTCATCCAACATCATCTGTCTTACGTTAACCCCAGTGAGCTCTCCACCTTGTGTATTGTGTTTCTCGAGAGTCTGAACTGGGATGAGTGACTTATGATGAGTGACAGGATAGGACTTGGTGAGAGGGTGGCATGGCCATGATGGGTTTCCATCTTGCAAACTCTCTTAGCCGTCTGCAATCATCTTTCTTGAACCCCACAGGGCTGATCTTGGGTTGGTATACAAGGCAAGGAAATGATGTCTCCAATCATGAATGAGCTCAAGCAAAGCCTCTCCGCACTGGTCCTGAAGATGACTGCAAACCTAACAAGGCATCTTAATGGTCATCTGCAAAAGACCACTGGCGACAATAAAATAATAGATTGCTGTCTTAAACAGGGAAATTCAAAAGTAAAATCCCCCACCCCCTTCAACAATAGATACGAATACACGGAAGGTGTGGGTTCCATGGCTTGACTTCGTGAACCGACTAGAAACTTCATCGTCACCCACGATATCATCTCTGCGGTAAAATGAGCTATGGATTGCAAGTAACCAAACCAGAACCAGTTAAGAGATGTGTAAGCTTGGAGTGTTTGAAAAGAATTTCTGTCCCTTGCAGAAGCCGCTGCTAAGGACCACTAGGTGGCAGTGTGGTCGCGATTTGCTGGCGAACCGAAGACGGAAGTGTTGAATCTCCAGCTACTGATTTTCCGTTTGACATTTAGAAGTTTACAATAGAAAATGTTCGTGAAATAATAGATGGGAAGTCAAACAGCGAGAGTCACGAGAACAGCTATTGACATAAAATAGACCTGTTTTACAAGCAGTTACAATGGAGCATTTTATGAAAAGTCAAAACATCAAATAATGTCTGCTGTTCATCATAAATGTAGTAATGTGTTCAAATGATTATCCCTACAAGCGTACGCTAGGCATTGTGAAACACGGGCCGGGGAGAGAATACGGCTTCCGCACCTCTTCCTCAAACCTTACCAGAGCCAGGCTTCCTGGGGCCTCCGTTGGCGTTTTTTAGACACCGAACCCCACTTCTTATTGACCGATATGCATTCTTTTTGGGTGCGTGGTGTTTTCCTGTTAAATGCTATTAATGTTTTTTTTTTTTCTTTCTGAGAAACATCTCTTCGAACTATATTACTTATTTGCATTTGTCTGAACTTCTATACAAGGACAGACATACTGACATTTGCCTTGTGTGTTTTTCTTTCTTTCTTTCTTTCTTTCTTTCTTTCTTTTTTTTTTTTTTTCTGGAATGATTACTCAGCAGCTGGGTAATACAAACCTGGCTAAGGTTACTGAACCTCTCTCGACTTCATTTTCGTTATCAGTAAAATAGGATAATAAAGTCAATCTTACAGAGTATTGCAGTATTTAAAGGAGACCTTGACTGTTGTCGTAAGTGCCAGGTATCATACTAAGAGTTAGTTTTCCAACCAGATTGTAAGAGGAAGGGAAGAAAGTGTGTGTTCTGGTCCCCTTCATGTATGCCTGTAAGTGCTAGATAGGCAGCTTACATTCAATGAATATTTAAATCAATGCATGAATAAGTGAAGGGTTAAAACATGAGGATATACATGACACGCACAAGGGCTATGTTAATTAATGTACCCTGGCATTTAATGTCCTGGAACATTATTATGAACATATCAATTTGCATGATTTAAAATAGAAACATTATAATAGTAATAAATAAATTCTTATAAATAGATAAAAATTCAAAATATGTCAACATGTTGATACAACAAATATTGTTAAAAATTAGGATAATCGTTTAGAATAATTAGTTGAATCTTTAAATACCCATGGGGGGTAGACTTGTTTAACTACAAGTACATTTGAGACAAATAGGCAACCCTCTTATTTTCAGACTAGAACTCCAGACCTTTAAGTCAGAGCTCCTGGAACTCCCCCAAATAGAGTTCCGTCTCTATTTGGCAAAAATCTGTAAATACGAGGCTTTTGTTAATTCTGCTTTGGATTCCTGTTAAGAAATGTGTGCAGAAATTAAGCCTGGGTGACTTTGTAGAAGCAGAATGGAGGACAGTGGCCACTCTAGGCCAGGAAGCAAAAGGATCAGGATGAAGAAAAGGAAACCAGATAACCAGTGCAGAAATATAGCCAGGAGAAGTAAGTTCCAGTGTTCTGGGGCTTGCTGGAGTGGACATGGTTAACAACAATTTATCTTATATAAGAGAGATGCTCGGAGTTTTTCATTGAAGAAATGGTAGGTGTAAGTAGATAAAAACACTAAATGTCTGGATATAATCATAACACGTCTCTACCAAATTATCGCAGTGTACTACAAAAATGCACAATAAAAATAGTTGAAGATAGCTGGGCATTGGTGGTGCATGTCTTTAATCCCAGCACTCGGGAGGCAGAGGCAGGCAGATCTCTGTGAGTTCGAAGTCAAAATCTGGTCTACAGAATGAGTGCCAGGATAGGCTTCAAAGCTACAGAGACACCCTGTCTCAAACAACAACAACAACAACAACAAAACAACAAAACACTGAAGATTAATTAATTATTAACTAACTTTATATTTTGTGTGTGTGCATCGCATGCTTGCAGGTGCCTGAGTGGGCCCAAAGAGGGTCATCAGGTCCCTTGGAAATAGTGTTGTAGATGGTTATTAGCCACCTGACGTGGGTGCTTGGAATCAAAGATCTGTTCTCTGCAAGAGCAACAAGTGCTCTTAACCATTGATCTATCTCTTCCACTCCTAAAAGATTAAGAAAAAAATATTTACTTTTTTTTCCATTTGGGAGGAATTTTGAACATAAGGATCATATTTACAAAATTTCCTCTTCTCCCTCCAACTGCTCCTGTGTCCTCCCCCTCAAGTTCATGACATATTTTCTATAATTATTATTGTTACATTCATACTCATAAACATACATAACCTATTGAATCCATTTAGTGTTGCTCAAATGTGCATGTTAAGGTCTGACCACTTGGCACTGTTTAGCCTAGCAGGGAATAAGAGGTCATTCATGCCTGGTACCTAGCCAACTGCCTGTGGCCAGGCAGGTCACAGATCCTAGGGGAGAACCCTACTACCATTATTTTCCTGAGCCAGTGTAATTCCTGACTGTGTGCTCAATACTCAACCTATTGCCAACAATAAGGGAAGCTCTCACCGGCCCCCTGTCCCCTACCCCCACCAAAGAAGCTTCTTGTTGCAACAGATGGAGAGTATTCCAGAGGCCCATAACTGGTCAAAACCCAGAGAACAAGTGACTGTGGGGTGCCCAGCGCCAGGCTGATTTTCTACAACACAAGATAGGTGCTTGAGGTTCAGGGAACATCATGAAGAAAGAGTGGAAGATTGTAAGATCCAGCGGTCCAGGATGTCTGCGGCAAGATAGTGTCACCTGGACATGACAGGGAAGCTGCATCCGTGAAACTTCAATAATATGATTGCCTAAACAAGACCTGAATATTGTCATCACCAGTGGATACTCCAGTGCATATGGGAGGGATTTCACATGGTGCCACCTCTAGACGAATGGCCGAAGAGACAGAGAGAATGTTTTCCCTAGAGCAGGCCCCTAAAGATAACTCTGAGTTTAAAAATATATGTGATGAAAATTTGCAAGTCTAGATTGCTGCGTGGTTGTATCAATTTCTATAAAGTGTAATTATTTTTTGAACAACCTGTTTTATTGCTAATTGTAAGATTTTTGTCCTTAGCCTCCTCCCAAACTGTGTAGCATTTCCTGGACCATTAACATCAATACGCTGTGCACTTTCTTCTCTCTTTGAAATTGTTTCTGGCTTTTTTTAGGAAAGTTGGTTAATAGTCTGATTGCCCAGAAAATTAGGCTCAGAGAAAAATAAAAATAAAAAACTATTACATATGCCAAATAAATTCTTAAATTCGAAAGATCTAAATGCCATCCTTAAAGGGAGCGGGGGTTGAGACTGGAAGCATGACTCAGAGGTTAAAAGTGCACACTGCTTGTCTTAGGACTTCAATTGCTGTGAAGAGACACCGTGACCACAGCAGCTTTTATAAAGGAAAACATTTATTTTGGGTGGCTTACAGTTTCAGAGATTTAGTCCATTGTCATCATGATGGGAAACACTGTGGCACACAGGCAGACATTGTGCTGGGGAAGGAACTGAGCATTCTACATCTTGATCTGCAGGCAACAGGAAGTGAGCTGTGACACTGGGCATAGCTTGAGCATAGGAGATTGCAAAGCCCACCCCCATAGCAACGTGCTTACTCCAACAAGGCCGCATCTCCTAATAGTGCCTCTGTCTTTGGGATCCATTTCCTTCCAAACCACCACACTGCTCTTGCAGAGGATACAGGTTCAGTTACCACAACACACATGTCAGGCAGCTCACAACTGCCTATAATTCCAGTTCTAGGGAACACAACAACCTCCTCTGTTTCCACAGGTACTACACTCATGTTCAGACACCCTCCCGCACATATACACATACTTTAAAATAATAGAAATAAATGTTAAATATGAAAAAGCTGGAGTTAAAAACAAGAAAATAGTTTTTGAAAAAAATCAGAGTGGGGAAATTTTAATACATGCAAAGAACTTGCCAGGGTGACGTCACCTAATGGTCTAGAACAAACCCCCACTCATAGAATGTGGGAGTCCAGGCTCCAGGAGATGGGGTGGGCTTATTCTTCTTTCTTTTGCTATATTAGGCCTCAGCTGTTTGGACATTGCTCATCCACACTGATGAGGCCATCTTTGCTCAGTCCACTGATTCAAATGTCGTGCTTTCCAGAAATACAGACACACCCAAAGTTGATGTGTGACCAACTTCCTCGCAGAGAGCCAAAATCCACCATCAGATGCATGGCTTATGCATTATATATATATATCCCATTGTCAAAATTCTTAAGTTCTGAGATTTAAGTACTTTCAAGTCCAATTTGTCCATAACTTAAGTTGTCACTGCTCCCTCCTGCCCCTGTAGTGACTGCAGAGAATGGACCATGCCTACCTAGAAGTCCATCCAGGTGCTTTCCACATCAGTGAGTATCTGACCTTCCACTTGGCCTTCTGGGTGTTCTCCCTACTTGATTTTCAAGTGCCAAGTGCCAAGAAGGTGAGCCCTCTGCCAACTTTGAAACCAGTTCTGTCCCTAGGGCATAGTAAACATCTGAGAAATGAATAGATTATGGGTACTCTCCTCATGGATCTCCTTTATGCTTTTGTTATGGTGATCTTAACTTAAACATTCTCTGTCTCTCACTGCATCAGCTCCAAAATTGGATTTTCTGACTGTGTTCATGATCTCACTCAGCATTTTTGTATTTGGTCTCACTTTTCGTTACTCCTTCCTTCTGTATTATGCTCAAGTGGTATTGAGCTGACCCTACCTCCTGACATTCACACTGATGCTTCTTGCCTTTATGGCTTTACCATGATATTTCCTTCCTCACTTTTCTTTATTTGCAAACCACTACTCATCCTCTTTCCTTGGCTCACATGACACAGTTTCTAGTAATTCTTTTTCAATGTCCCAGGTTGTAATTGATGGCTTGCTCTTTGGTACCTTTGTTCCTTATGTGCTTCTGCCTTTCCTGCTAAGTTCCTGAGTAGGAACTGTTTTTCAAACACTGTAGCAATCCCAGTGAACACAGCAAGCCTGGAAATGTTTGCACTTTCTTCATTTTTGGGAATGAACAGTTTGGATTGTATGGAAATTTAATATTTCTTCTGATATAGATGTTGTCTATTCTACCTAGAGCCATTGGCTATAAATATTGTGTACTCTTCCTCTTTAGGAGTGGTTGCTAATGAACCCCATAGACAATAACATGAATGTCTACTTACCCCACGAGTCACGTGACTGCAGGTACTGCCCTGATGAATCTAGAAGAAATACTTCAGTGGCTATAATAGTTAACGGTGACATCTAAATCTAGAAACTGTGGTTTTCTTGATTTTAAAAACTCGTGTCTATATGTATTAATTAGGTATTTCTGGTATAACTCATCTCACATCTCATCTTTGCAAAGGAAACAATTTGACTTTACATGGGGTTCTGATCCCCAGTCTGTGCTTCAGAAACTGTGAGCTGAGTGACCCTCAGTTCCTGGGATACACGATCATTCCCCCAGGGGGATCTGCAGCTCCTGCAATACTAAGTTTATTTGGATAGACAAACATAAGTCAAGGGCTTTCACTAGGAAAAGTAAGTACAGGCTTGAAATATCATTATCTCTGTCACACAGACCTGTCAACAGAAGAAAGTCATTTAAAATCAGAGAATGAAGTTGATCTTAAAGAAAATCACTAGAAAAGAGCCAGCTCCACTCTCCAGTTCCAGAACTACATTAATTATGTTTAATTTATCATTAAACATCAAATTCATAGCTTTTAAAAGACATTCATTTCCTCCAGGAAGTCATGACTTTGGAACTCGAACTTTGAATTGAAAGAGATGAAGTTCTATATTTAGGAACCAGAACATTACAAGTTAATGGAAATAAACTAGAGGAGTCCTTTAATAACATGGAACTAGTGAAATAGCATGAAAATGTATCAAAATAAAAATTGGTAAAGTCCAACCTGGTATGAGGCCTAGTGCAGACTTTTCAAGTTATAGCTGATATTTATAATGCATATGGAATTGATTTTATAATACCTGCCAGGCTGGAAGAACTTTGCTGCATATCAAGCCCTTTCAAGACTCTTCCTTGAATCAGCCAGAGTTTATTTAAGGAAGACATGGTTGCTTATCTTCATGTTATGACAGACACCATGAACATGTGGAAAGACAGAAGAAATTAAGGAAGATGTAAATGAAAAGTAATAGCTAACAGCTCAGTCAACAGTGAAAAGCAATGAGATCACCAAGAGTCCCTAGAAATTGATTAAAGATGAGCCGTCCCAGAGAGCTCTGGCCATCTAATGTGCTCTGTCTTGCCCTTGTCTCAGCACTTCCATTTTTATACTCACTCTCCGAGTCTGCTGTGGAAACACTGGCTTAGAATACACCTGTTAATAATACAGATCTGACACATGCCCTGGAAGGGAAACCACTGTGGGAGTTGACTAGTTCTCTTTCATACAGCTGTCTTCTGTGTAGGGGACCCATGCCCTGATTTTATTCATGTCACAGTATTTGCATGTCTTTCTGCTACGTTTGCTGCCATCAAACAGACAGACAGCTTTAGCCATACAATCACAAGGGCCTTGCCACCCTTTGCTTCCTAATAAGCTAAACTGTGTCTCCAACCTAAGCCAGGTCTGGAATCTGTCTCAAGCTGCCTTTCCCTCCATTTTCTTAGGATTAAAATGCTACTTTGACATTATTGGTGGTGGCAGGAAACAGTGATGCCTGGGCATCACACATAAGAGCAGACTTTCTAGATACTCTCATTAGTCTCAGATGAAGATGACATTCCCAAACCATCACGGACAACTCTCCATGGAATAAACTTAAAATCAGGTGCTCTCTCTCCTCTTAGCTACTGATCCTGTCAGCCTACCACGCTGAACTGGCATCACAGGTGCTGCAGGACCAAGCTCCCTTCAGTATTTGCCATACCCGAACTACCGGAATGTCTTTCATTTGTTCCAGTCATCCAAATAGAAACCTTGTTTGCTAGGATTCTATTCAGGGTATTGAACTGATTTGTCAACTTGAGGGGATTGTCAGAATAAAACATGGAAAAATCACTGGGGATCTGAAGTGAGAAGATAAGGAGAAATCCAGGCCAGAAAAGAAATAAACTTAAGGTTGGGAGTCTGAAGGAAATGTGGTAGGCACACAAGACAAGGCTGAGAGTGTCAGAGGGTATTATGGTTAATCTTGTTAGCTGAGGAAGATTTAGAATCGCCATGGAAACACACCTCTGAGTATGTGTGTGAGGACATTTCTAGAAAGGTTCAATAGAGAAGGGAAGACCCGCCCTGAATGGGGTCACGACCTAGGATTCTAAACTGAATACGAAGGGGAAGGCAAAATGAACACCAGCATCCATGTTGCTCTGCTTCCTGCTTTATAAAGATGTTGTGTCCTGCTCCCTCACTCTCCTGATGCCATGCCTTCCCCACCATGAATGACTGAACCCTAAAACTGTAAGCCAAAACAAACTCTTCCTTCCTTCCTTCCTTCCTTCCTTCCTCCCTTCCTTCCTTCCTTCAGTCACTTTGGCCCTATATTTTGTCACAGCAACGAGACAGTAACGAATACAGAAACTATAACTAATACAGTAACTAAAAAGACCTTGACTTTACGTAGACATAGGAGAGGAAGAGGGTCCGTGCTACAGCTCCCATTCATCTATGCATCTATCTATGGATGGATCAGTGATCTGATTATTTTGACTGCTGTTAACTCATTTCTGCCTTCTGTTTGATTCACTTATCTTCCTAGATGGCAGCTGCTATCATTATCATGGCATTGTTTCCAGTGGCTAAATATAGATACTAACAGCATTACATGGGACTGGTAGGAGTTGCCTCTGCTGTTTACACTTGCTTCTATTGTGAAACCACTTTCATTTGGGGATGTGGTGATTATCATCCCGACATCTTTGCTATCTACTTTCAAGAAAAGAACACCCAGCATGAAGTCCTGAAGGGAAGTAGGATGAAGTTTAAAGAAAACAAACCGAAGGAAAATGTTCTGGTGACTGTAATAAGTGTAGAAAAGCTGAATAATTGCAGGCAGCTACCTGAAAGTTAAGTTCTCCCAGGAGAAAACAGGATGTTATCTCCATTTGAGGTACATTCCAGAGAGCGAGCAGCTTGTAAGTGGGAAACAATATTGGGGCTGTAGAGGTGGCTCAGCACTTAAGCACACACACCCTGCTCTTCCAGAAGACTTGAATTTGATTCCCAGCACTGCTGTCAGTTAGTTCACAACTCTCTGTAATTCCAGCTCCTGGGGCTCCCTTGCCTCTCCGAAAATACCTGCGCTCATTTTTTTTAAAGATACAAAAGCACATTGGGATGCTGGGAAGAGAGTCTGCCAACATTTCACTCTTTTTTTTTTTTTTTTTTTTTTTTTTTTTTTTACTCGTTGCTCTTTATTCTTTGGGGGTTCATCACCCAGCTCCCAAATAAAGACATGGAGGCTTATTATTACTTCTAAATGCCAAGCCTTAGCTTGACTTGTTTCTAGCCAGCTTTTGTTAACTTAAATTATCCCATCTACCTTTTGCCTCTGGGCTTTAATCTTTTGTTATCCTATATACCTGTCTTTACTTCTTACTCTGTGGCTGCTGTGTAGCTGGGTGACTGGCCTCTGGTGACCTGTCTCCCTCTTCTTTTCTCTATTTAGATCTGTACCCCATTTTTTAATTGGATTGTTTGTTTTCCAGTTTCTTGAGGTCTTTGTATATTTTGGATATCAGTCCTCTGTCAGATGTAGGGTTGTTGAAGATCTGTTCCCATTCTGTAGGGAGTGGTTTTGTCTTGTTGACCATGTTCTTTACTTTACAGAAGCTTCTCAGTTTCAGGAGGTCCCATTTATTAATTGTTGCTCTCAGTGTCTGTGCTACTGGTGTTCTATTTAGGAAGTGGGCTCCTGTGTCTATGTGTTCAAACGTATTTCCGACTTTCAATTCTATGAGGTTCAGTGTGGATGGATTTATATTGAAGTATTTGATCCATTTGGACTTGAGTTTTTGCATGGAGATAGATATGGACCTATTTGCATTCTTCTACATGTTGACAGTCACTTAGACCAGCACCATTTGTTGAATATATTTTATTTTTTTCTGATTTATATTTTTAGCTTCTTTGTCAAAAATTAGGTGTTCATAGGTGTGTGGGTTGACATCAGGGTCTTTCATTAGATTCTGTTGGTCCACCTGTCTGTTTTTATGACAATACCAAGCTGTTTTCATTACCGTAGCTCTTTAGAAGAGCTTAAAGTCTGGGATGGCGATGCCCCCCAGGTCTTTTATTAAGTACTGGATAGTTTTGGCTATCTTGGGTTTTTTGTTTTCCCATATGAAGTTGAGTATTGCTCTTCCAAGGTCTGTGAAGAAATTGTGCTGGGATTTTGATGGAAATTGCATTGAATCTGTAGATTACTTTTGGTAGGATTGTCATTTTTACTATGTTGATCCTACCTATCCAGAAGCATGGGAGATCTTTCCATTTTCTGAGATCTTCTTTAATTTCTTTCTTTAAAGACTTAAAATTCTTGTCATATAGGTGTTTCATTTTTTTGGTTAGAGTTACCCCACGATATATTAAGTTATCTGTGGCTATTGTGAAGGGTGATGTTTCTCTGATTTCCTTCTCAGCCTGTTTGTCATCTGTATATAGGAGGGCTACTGATTTTTTGAGTTAATCTTATATCCTGCTACATTACTGAAGGTTTTTATTTCTTTTTATTTTACGTGAGTTGGTATTTTGCCTGTCTGCATTTCCTCATGAGGGTGTTGGGTCCCCTAAAATTTGAGTTAGAGACCATTGTGAGCTGGGAATTGAACCTGGGTCCTCTGGAAGAGAAGCCAGTGGTCTTAACTGCAGAGCCATTTCTCCAGCTCCCCTAACTGCATTTTAAATATTTATCCTTATATCCATAGACAAGTGTAGCTCTCACCTGTCAATCAAAAAAGTTTCCCTTCTGCAGCAAATATCATTACAGAAATAAATCCACAACTGGTCAAAATGCAGTGAACAACTGACAATGGGTGCCAAGACATGATAGACATATATACAACACACCTCCCACACCCAAGCCTCAGGGAACACATTGAAAGAAGGGACAGAAATATAAGAGACAGGGGACCAAGACACTTGCTCCTAGACAGCATCTTCTGTATATGACAGGAAAGATGCACCCTTGCAGTCTCAGCAACATGGCCACCTACACAAGATTTTCACAAAGACAATACCAGTTGATAGGGCAACATGGACGGAGGAAATCTCACAATGTTCCACACCTAGATGAAAAGCTACATGCAACCATTGCTGCTGACTGAGAGAGGCTCTGTCTTCTCCAGAGACAACCCTCCAATAGATTATCCAGTCCTAAGTCTTCAGCTGTAAACATACATACATATGAACAACACTGAATGGATTCAGCAGATTGTCTTGCTCTCTCTCTGTCTGTCTGTCTGTCTGTCTATCTATCTCTATTTATGTTTGTCTCTCTCCGTCTCTCTCTCTCGCTCTCTCTCTCTCTGTCTGTCTCTCTCAGTGTGTGTGTGCATGTGTCTATAAAGAGAGAAATATCTAGAGTCCTAAGGTTTAAATCAGTGTTCTCTTAGAGAAAGAAAGCAAATCCTCTAGGGTTTTGTATTGATGTGTATTAAGACTGTCACCCGAGTCTTTCAAGAAGTTTTACCATTCAAAGTATTTCACTATAGAAGCAACCATGACTCACTGAGATCACTGGGCCATTCTGGTCCCCATGCAGTGCAGAGGCAGATTCAATCGGCCCCTGAGGACCAAGGAACCTAGAGTCTTCTGACATCTATGCCCTAGTCCCACTCTCACCCACCTGGAGAGCAAGTGCCTCAGACCCACCTGCATCCACCTTGAGACCCATCAGAGCATTGAAGCCAATTGCACCCACCTGAAGAGGACCCCCCAGACCTATACGCACCTGGAAAGGAAGAGACACCACCTGCAGCCACTGGAAGAAGAGATGGGAAGACGACAATATAAGAACACATCCAACAACAGGAAAACCAATATGACACCACCAGAGTCTAGGGACTCTACACCAGCAAGACCTGAACATCCCAACACAGATGAAGCAGAAGAGAGCAACCTTAAAAAACAACACCATGCAGATGATAGAGACCGTAAGAAGGAAATCAGAAAAGCCTCCAGAGAAACCTTCAGAGAAATGGAAGAAAAGACAAACCAAAAGATGCAAGAAATCAAGGAAAGCCAAGGAAATATGATTAAACAACTTAAGGAAACAGTTTAGGACCTGAAAACTGAAATAGAGACAATAAAGAAAACACAAATTGAGGGAATGCTGGAAGTGGAAAAGCTGAGTAAACAATCAGGAACCACAGATGCAAGCATAACCAACAGAATACAAGAGATGGAAGACAGAATCTCAGATGCTGAAGATAAAGTAGAGGAAATAAATTCATCAAGCAAAGAAAATCTTAAGTCCAACAAACCTTTAAAACAAAATATACAGGAAGTATGGGACACCATGAAAAGACCAAACCTCAGGATAATAGTTATAGAAGAAGGAAAAGAAACCCAACTCAAAAGTGCAGAAAACATATTCAACAAAATCATAGAAGAAA